CCTCTGGACCAGGAGCAGAAGGACAGAAGGTGGCCCAAAAGCCCTTTCCTCTGGGCTGGGAGCAGCGGGAGGGATGGTGACCGGGAAGCCCCTTCCTCTGGACCAGGAGCAGTGGGACGACGGCTCAGAAGCCCCTACCTCTGGGCCGCGAACAGTGGGACTCAGTATCTTGGTCTGGTGGTCTGGTGTCCTCTGTGCCTTGGTAATGTGGAATCAGGTGGCTGTGCATGGCACATTTTTAACAAGCTTTGCTCCCCCTGCAGCAAGGGTGTCCAGAGGGACATTAGCCAAAAGCAGTACTTTTCTTGGTGCTTCTCCTTTTTTCAGGAAGGAAAGACAATGCTAACACTTAAGTCTGGTTCTTGGCTGCAGAGAGGCATTTGACTGCACAAGCACACACCAGAAATAACTAACTTTCAGAGGAAGATTAACTCCATGTGCAGCTCTGCTCAGCCTTCTCAAGGACTCTCAGTGACCCCAGGAATTCTTTCTGTGTCAAAGCAAAGAGGACCCTTCCTGTCAATCTCAGGAATCACCCTGATTAGTGCCCCTTTCATGGGCATTTGTCTCAAAGCCCAAGTCTCATCTATGAGCGACATTTGCCACCTCAGTCTGTCTTCACTGGTTAGGGAGATGCTACAGTACTAATAGATTTCAAGGATTTTGAACAAATAGCCACAAATATTTAAAGCTTCACTTTGCCTATTAGGGAAAATGCTGTTTAAGATAATTATTTTGCCTCTGCCTGACAGGAAGATTTATACAGAAGATAGAATTATTTTAACCTTTGAGAAAAATCTGAAACCTTGACTCTCCAGTCTTTCCCTAGACTGCAAGTGTTTTAGGGCCAAAAATATCAAATCCCTGGATGCTATAAGGCAAAAAAAAAAAAAAAAAAAAAAAAGGCTAGCAAATAATGCTGAAGGCCTTACTGACCAATTTCTCCAGCAGCACAGCTTGTCAACTGGATGCTAAACAAGGCCCATGGCTCCTGCCCATCTGCTCTTCTGAACCATGACTCCTCGAGACAGGAGCCTGTCTCAGATGCTTGTGCAGCCCTGGAGTCACTGGGCTGGGCACAGTGAACACCCAGAATGCCATCTGCATCTCAGCGACTCAGGTTTTGAGTAGTTTCCTGTAGTGAGTGGTACAAAAGTCTGGAGATGGCCTGAGCTTGGGGCTGAAGCCTAATTATGGCATTTCTTAGTAATGCGGCCTTAGGTACATGTCTTCCTGACTCAGTCACCTTATCTGAAACAACGGCCCGAAGCTACCGCCCTTGTGGGGTTCGGTATGATGACCAAGGTAAAATATATGGTGTCTGGCCCATAGCAGACACTGAATAAATGGCAACCACTTCCTTGAGAACTGCCCTTACAGAGAAAAGAGAAATGAAGGCTTCAGAAATGAGGGTGTTGGGTCAAATGGAATTTCTAGGTTTAGATTTCTGAGGACTCTCCACACTGATTCCCATACTGGTTATACTAGCTTACATTCCCACAAATGAAGTAGAACCCTGGATCCTCACCAGGATTTGTTATTATTTGACTTCTTCATGATGGCCATTCTTTCTGGGGTAAGATGATATCTCTGTTGTGTTAATTTGCATTTCTCTCATGGTCAGTGAACATTTGTTGAGCATTTCTTCATGTGTTTGGTGGCCATTTGTACTTCTGTGAATTGTCTATTCATTTCCCTTCCCCTTTTTTTGATTGGGTCTTTATTTTGGAGGGTCTAGGTATCTTCACAAAAGAGTTAAAGACATCATATTACAGGGACACATGCATTCCCAAGTTTACAGCAACACAATTCATAATAGCTAAACCTTGGAAGCAGTGTGTAGGTCTATCAGCAGATGAATGGATTAAAAAATGTGGTATTTACATACAATGGAGTATGACTCTGCCATAAAGAAAAGGTTGAGTCATCTGTAGGAAAATGAATTCACCCTGAGACCACAATGTTAAGTGACATATATCAGACATACAAGCTTTAATAACACATGGTTTCTCTTATATGAGAAACCCAAATTTTTAATAAACAGCAAAATAAAAGATAGACAATAAGAAGTAAGGAGATACATCTTTCTGAAATGGGAAGAGGATTAAGAGATGGAGGAGGGGAGAGAAGAAAGGGGATGAAAAAAGGAATTATGAAGATGTCCTCTGTACATGTACCAATTCCCCACAAGCAGTATAAATAGGATGCATTACAAACATATACTAATAAAAAATAATTTAAAAAAGAAACGAAGGGAGTTCAGAGCAAGAACACATTATCCTTTGTGTATAAGTTACCATGCTAGGATTGTGTTCAGTGTGACTGGTAGAGGAAGGCAGGGCAGTTATCCAACACAAAGTGCCATCAGAATGAGTGTGAGAGACTGAGTAATATCCCTTTTCCCCCAAAGATGTCCCCATCCTAGTCCTCAGAACCTGTGAATGTCACTTTTACAGAGTAAAAAGGACTTTTCAGGAGTAAGCGGAAGGTCTTGAGATGAACAGATGACTCTAGATTACCTGCATGGGCTGACAGTCCTCACAAGGTCCTTGGGAGAGAAGAGGGGAGCTGCAGGGTTGAAGTTGAAAAAGACAGGGAGAGACTGGAAGAGCTACACAGCACAGAGGAGGAAGGCACCTGGACCCTGGGAATACAGGCTACAATATGCAAATGGTGAGGAACAGTTCCTTCTGACATTTGCAGAAGAAACCACCTCTGGGAACAACTTGACTTTAACCAAGTGAGACTGATTTCGGACTTCGGACCTCTAGAACTTTGGGCTAAATTTGTGTTTTAAGCTGCTAAGTATGTGTTAATAATAGGAAATTCATAAAATGAATAGGAAATTACAACCAAAAACACGAACCACCCAGCCCGGCAAACTTTAATTATATGGAAAATTTCATCTCTGTGCGATACTGTTGATCCCGATGACAGCAGATAGCTGAGGTGTTACGAGAACCAAGAAGCTATCTGTGTAATTGGTGGAGACCTGGTGTTAATGGAGATGAGGTTCAAAAACACTTTTATTTCTAGAAATGCTGCCATCCTTTGTCAACATGCCTTTATGGCACCTGGTGGGTTGTTACCTGGAGTCCACACAGCTCATAATCACAGCCTGTTCAACACTGGCAGCCAGCAGAAGTCATCAGAAAACACATTTTGTCAAGAAGTGGTATTTTTCTCTCCTTTCTTCACATTTGAAAAAACCTAAGTTCAGCTTATGCCTGAAAGTACTGAGTGAGCTTTTCAAGGAAAAAAAAATCACCTCTGGCCATGTCATTCACAATTTGAATTTCTAAATAAAGTTCATTACCATGTTGTCCAGGAATATAACAACAACAACAACAACAACAACAACGAAGAACAGCAGCAGCAACAAGCCCTTAAGAGAGGAATAAAACTCAGCTTCCCTTCTGGAATAAATGACTTCCCCTGAGAGTCATACAAGGTACAAATAATGATGGCATATCAAGTTCAGAACATAAATATTGGGCTCTTTAGTTCTTGTAGCAGGTCTTAACAGGTAGAATTGTAGTGCCCCTAACTTGCCACTGAAGAAAGGGGAGTTCTCACAGCCTGTAAATAACAGAGCCAAGATTAAAGCTCACATTGGATTGACTTCAAAACTTATCTTTTCTTCCGTCCATACTGTGTCTGAGATAAATGTATGGGGTAGTATGTTGAAAAGACATGGGATATACCGCCAACAGCCAATACGAGTGTTCTATGAAGAACTCTGGCTGATCCAACTTTGAATCTATTGCTTTCCATCATGCTGAAGAGCAGGTTGTGTATGAACACGAAGTGAGCCACACAGGACCCATTTTATAATTGGTTCTACCACTGGCATGTAGGAAGTGTCAGAAAATAGAAGAGAATTCCTAAGTAAGGTTATACCAAAGACAGAGTAGCATAGCCCACTACAGTAAAGATACAATCTTGGAACCATTTTGCTTATGTAATCATACTGCTACAGTCTTCTTAAATTAAAGACTAAGGAGCTTTGAGCACTTATTATTTGGAGGCTGCTAAAAAGCCATCATGGCAACCATCCTCTAACCCAGATTTTCTAGGCAGAATAGTCTCAGCAGCAACTCCCACACCTCACAGTTTCTCTTAAATTATTTTGACCACGGCCACGTAAGAAATAGCTTTACTAGGCATTGGGTACACACATACACAGAAATTCCAGGAAATAAGATGCAGGCTCACTATGTACAATGAGCTCTCCCATTTCCTTCTCTATTTTTGTCTGTTTTGTCTGGTTGAGTCTGTTTTGTTGCCATGACCCACACACTTGACTCAGTGATTCACTAACGACCCCGCACTTCCATGCAGGGGTTGCGCTTGTGGTTTGAAAGTGCTCTCCTAGACAACATGGAGAAATGGGGTCCCTACCTCTGGGGCGATGTAATCTGGTGTTCCACAGAAGGTCCTGGTCGTGACTCCATCCATCATGTGCTCCTTGCACATCCCAAAGTCAGCAATTTTGATATGTCCCTCTGAATCCAGCATGACATTATCTAACTTCAGATCCCTGTATGGAAGAAGGTTAGCATGAGGGTCCTTCCCACAACACACCACTGTTTACTCTGGAGCTGGTGAAACTGATGTGCATTTGACTAGCTGCCATCTGAGTGGCTTTTTAATCCTGAGTCCCTGGAGAGGAGAGCCAGAAATTACTATATCCTATATCTTCAGAACCTAATAAAAAGCCTGGTACATGGAAGATGCTTAGCCAGTGAATGACTAACTGGCTGAACTAATGATTCTTAATCTTGGCTGTGCCTATGAATTCAGAGATTCCAACTTATCAGGTTTGGAGAGATTCTAGTTATTTGATGTGTTACTATCCTGCACAGGGTTTGCAAAATTCAGGGTTTTGAACCATCTCTCTTATCCCTTCATCATGTCTGCACCAGTGTTCTTTTAATTACTCTTCAATTAATCCTGAAAGACATTCTTCTTTCTTTGGCATCAGAATTTCACTGCATCTTACAACTGAAAGAATTTAATTCAATAGTTTCTCTTGCCTCTCCCCAGTTCCCTGTGCTCTTTTCCTGCTGAGTCTCTATAATAGCAATTCGGCTTCCATTGCTCCCTGACTCCCATTCCAAATAACATGTAGAGGAAGGAGCCGTCAGTGGAGCAAAACATGTTTTCTTGTATAAAGCAGAAATGAGATATAAAATCTTTGAGGTCTAGAAATCAGAAGGTGGCTCTGATTTGCTGCAAGGCTGTAGAGAAAGGTGGGTCCCAGCAGGTCTGTATTCCATGGGGGATTATTATCTCCATGTGTGAAGTCTCTATCTTGGAATTACATGCCCACTGAGGCCCAGCAAACCTGTCCTTTGTGCTGCTGTGAGAAGATCTTTGATACACACCTATAGATGATGCCTCTTTTATGAAGAAAGAACAATCCAATGGAAATCTCTGCTGCATAGAATCTGCAAAAGAAAATGTGCTTCAGGTTTCTGGCTTGCTTCTTTGGACTTTTGGATACTTTTTAGTCTCAAATCCAGGCATCAAAGAGATAAGAGAGTGCAAGACCTTAAGGGTTTCTGAGACCAGCATCACCCCACACATGTTCTTCCAACCATCAGTCCTTCCCTCTCCCATTCCATCACTCCAGCTCACCCAAGAAGAGCCCAGTCAATAAACTACACAAGACAGGTTTATTTTTCTTGCTCAAGAAGAGTGGGCAGGTAATTTACTGCCTAAAATGTAATTCCTAACATAATCACTTAAATAGTAGATACCTGTTTGACCATTCTATGTCAGGGATATGGCACAGTAGAGAAAAATTCTATTTTCCTATTCATTGAAGAATATATTATTGTTTGAGAATACAATTACTCCCTGGAAGACAAAGTAGAGTGGGTGCTGAACTGTTTAGCTGGTCTATTCATTCTCTGAAGTGCTGGGATAAATGGAACATATGATGATTTATACCTGAGGCTGTCCTCTTAAATAATTCATAATATTCAATGGCAGTTACTATCATTACTTCAAAATCATTAATAGGTTAATATCTGAAACTCAGATTAAATGCAGAAGTGTGTTTTAAAATTTACATAGCACTTAAGGTCTTTGAAGTATGAGAAGCCACAAGTCTGGGCTTGGGCAAATATCATACCCAGGAGGCTTAACACAAGCACAATATCTAAGAATACGCTGACAATGAGGGGCCACCTCTGAAAACCAGCAGGAGCGGATAGGATGGGGGAGAGAGGAAAGATGGGATGACAGGTGATTGTTACAGTATGTTTCATGTTTTTCTATGTATTTAAAAAAGTTTCTGCAACACACATAGAATGAAAGGGTATTGGATGAGGCATTTTATAACATAAAGTGGCTTTTTGCTACCTGTTCTTTATAGCTCTGAGGTATCAAGCTTTATTTCACAATTGGAACATTTGAATGCTGCTATAACTCATGAAGTCTCTTAAGAGAGGATAAGAATATTTCTAAAATACTTTTTAAAGTAAAAATAAAAGCAGAAAAATCTCCTTTTTTATTTTTAAAGCTTGGTACCAACAAATCCCTTATTGTGCCATCAGTATTCCATAAGGTAGATAATCCCACACAAGTGAAAATTTCTTCTTATTGCTGTTTTAGATTGAACATTCCAAAAATCTTATTCATGTTTGCTATTTTGATTAACCAGGGTGTACATTTGCACACATTTTTGGGTAAGTAAAACATTCATCTGCTTGAGCCTGCTTCTGCTGCGTTCCCTAATACTCCCCAGGGCCCTGAGAAATAGGATGATGTTTCAGGTACTAAGGTCCCCTCCCCAACCCCATGTATGACTCCTCCGTCTTCACCTGGAGCCCCACATTCAAGGCACACCCAAGTGAAACATTCCAAGCTGAGATCACAAGTATTACCATTCTCCACCTTCACTCAAGCCTAACATGGACATCACTTACAGAGAGAGGTTTCTGTCTTCTCACTGCCAGTCACCTAGTTCTGCTTTTGTTCCTCCATAATGTTTGTCAAAGACGCTAGTTTCTCTTTGGCTCCAAGTTGAAGCCTAATTCTAGCTCCGTTTCTTCTGCCATAGAAAGATTCTCACCAATCCCCTCACCAATCACCAGCTGCTACCTTCTCGCGATCCTTCCTTCTTTCCTCAGCCATAGGGCTCCGTAAGAACTTAGTTTGGTGGAGTCAATCAGATGGAGCCCTTTCTAATGCCTCTTCCTCAGCTGCCTCCCTACAGGCTCTGCATTTATTGCTCTGCCACTCCTCCCTATCTCACAGTGCCCTGGACTAGCTCTTCATATTCTTACATCCTCTCCTTAGAAGGTTCTCTCCTTATCTCTGGGTCATGCATTCCCTGAGCGCATGCTGCTGTCACTCCCCAATTCTGGGGGGCCTTGTGGTTTTCTGTGCACATCTCTAAAGTTAAGCAGTGAGTTGAGTGTGAGTGCCCCAGAGTAGGGGTGCATCTCACTGCCTTGTGTTCCCAGTGCCTGTGCACAGTGAGTGTGTAGCAGCCATGTGCTCAGTAAATGAGTGATTGAATCCAGCCATGAGGATGGACCCAGGTGATGAAGGGATACACTATACTGGAAATGGACTAAATTGCTCCTTAGAAAACATCTAGATGGGTCTGTTAGTACATCTGTCCCCTGGAAAGTTACAGCATTTAACTCCAAAAAAGCAGAGCCACCCAGGAACATTTTATACAGTAGAGGTTCCCAGATGGGAGCTCAGGGTTGTCTGATTTGCAGGACTTAGAAAAATACTTACACTGCTTGTGGCTCCTTAAATTTCCCTACTTGCTGAATGTGGTACATGAGGTCCCCACCGTTGACATATTCCATGACGAAGTAAAGCCGATCCTGCAGACCAAGGTGCACATGTGAGTAAGGCTCCTCCTTGTCGCAGAGCCTCTGCTTTGCTTTCATATTAGTGAAATGGGGATGCCTTGCCAGATCTGCGTGGTCTGCATCTCTTCACAATTTTTTCCCAGTGAAAGAATAAGTAGTAGACCCCATTGCAGGAGGGCCTTGGGAAGGATAAGGTCATTACATAACTGAACTGATGGCTCTCTGTCAATGCATCTGCCTCCTGGTTACATATGCTCCCTATTATAGTAATGGTCTCAACCTTCTTCCCTTTTTTCCTATACATATATTTATGAGCTAGGGAAAGGGTGAAAAGTCTACAGGGGCCAATCATTTCATTTTAACCCGTTTTTCTTGATGGCGCAAATGCATAAAAGCTGACTTGCAATGTCTAGGAGGCATTTCTGTGCAGATGCAGTAACTGATTTAAATGGACGCTTCTGAAAACACATCTCTTGGGTTAGACTGGCCTTATAAATTGTGCATGCTTGATGATATTTCCTGGGTGGGGGAGAGGGAAGACCATAAACGGAGAGGCTAATCAAAAGTTCTTTTGCAGCCATAATGTGCCCAAATATCTTTTTTATTTTCTCTGTCACTGGTATGCTAAGTGTCGGCCCCACAAAGAACCATATAAGTCTGCATATTTATACAGACATTATGCTGGGATAGATGGGAGAGAATGAAGAATTTACCAGTGAAATAACTAACAGTACACCATGGTAAAAGCTGACCTCTGTTCTCCTCTAGAAAACATCCCCATTTCACAGAGGTTATTAGACATTAAAGTGTTACATAGGTAAGAAAGGGAGGGAGGGAGGGATGAGGAAGGGAGGAAGGAAAAGCAAGAAAGGAAAAGAAAAAGAAAGAAAGAACAATGAAGCAGAAAACAGCTTTGGGAGCTCCACCATCTAGCTTCTCTGCTATTACCTTTAATGCCATCATTGCTTCTTTGCTCCACAAGCTTTCCAAAGCTTAATCTTCACAAGCAGGGTTAAAGACTCGGGTTCAGAGAAGTGGCTCTCCCTTCCTGCCTCACTGCTCAATTCTCCCTGGCACTGCTGGGTTCTGGATTGGGTTCTGGAGTGGTTTCTGTGAGCTATTGAGAGCTGGCAGAAGTGACTCAGTGGTCAGGGCATGGCTGATATGAAGTGGCAGGCTTGCTACCAACAAGCTCTGCAGCTCTGCAGATTTCCTGTGTATCCTGACACCGTGTGTGGCTGCCCTGCCATTTGGGGATTCTACTACTCAAAAGCTTGTAGAGCACCTTCTAAGGATTTTGAAAAAGGACATAAAACACAAAGTCAATTTCTGACCTTGAGCCAGTTGAAAGTAGTAATCATCATAACAGTAACAATATAGCTAGATTATTGAGCCATGTTTGATAGGGTCAGCTTCTAGGTGGAAGCTTGTCTGGAAATGCCTCACTCTGGTACCATCTAAGCAGCTTGGTTTCCTATAAAACACTTGCAAGCTCCACCACGAGTGAATCAGTACCTTGGGATTTTTGTAATGTGCTTAGACAGTTTAACTCTGTGACCAAGGTCAGCAAATTTTTTCCATAAGGAGTCAGACAGTAAATATTTTAGGCCTTGTGTGTCTTGCAACTGCTCACCTCTGTCTTTGTGGAGTGAAAGACACTGTAGGTGACAGGTAAGTGAATGAACATGGCTGTGTCCTTAGAGAACTATTTACACATAAATATGATTTTCATTAATTTTTCACATGTCATGAAATACTGTTTGGATTTCTTTTTTGTGACCTTTCTTGGAGCTCATGGGCTGTACAAAACAGGTCATGGTTTGCCACTCTTGATGTGTGTCATTAAACAAGAACATGCTGTTATATGAAATGGACTCTTTTAATGTTCTAAGGTCATGCTTGGCAGCTGGACCAATGGTCTTAAAAAGCCAGGTCTGTGAGTTATTTTATTGTTTCTGTATAGCACGGCACCTGGCATAAAGAAAACCTTTCACATACAGTCCCTTAGGGCGTATGGGGAAACTGGTTCTAGCACCCTCCAAGGATACCCAAATCTTCAAGTGCTCAAGTGCCTTATATAAAATGGTATAGTATTTGCACGCAATCTATGCAATCCTTCCCTATACTTTAAATCATCTCTGGATTACTTATAATAACTAATGCAATGTTAGAGCTATGCAAATCGTTGTTATATTGCATTGTTTACACAGTAATGACAAGAAAAAGTCTATAGATGATCAGTACAGATGTGATTTAAAAATTTTTTTTAATCCATGGTGGGTGAAATCTGTGACTGTAGAACCAAGGATATAAAGGCCAACTGAAAGTGTTTGGTGAATTAAATGGAATAGAGTGCTAAGCCTCTAACCAGACAGGACATCACAGAGAACATATGCCCCAAATCTATCAGTGTCAGGAGGTGCTCACTGTCCTTGTCTCTGCTTGGTGTTCCTTTCCACCTTTCCTCAGGGATGCTGAGATGCTTTGGTTCAGGTACAGCCCAAGTGCAAGCTGGGTGCTGTGCCATGTGTACAGCCCCAGGGTGCTCACCACGGTCTGGAAGCAGGAGTGTAGCTGTGTCAGGAATGGGGGCTTGTCCAGCAGGGCCAGGACCCGCTTTTCCACCATGGTGCATTCCACATCATCATCCTGAATCACCACATCCTTCTTCAGGATTTTGATTGCATACAGTTCTTCTGTTCCCTTCCTGTCAGCAAGCATCACCTGGGAACAGACCGAGAACAAGCTGAACATTTCCAAGCAGAATCTGGTCCCGGGAGCTGGGTTGGGGATAGGAGGAGGAAGCAGTCCAGGTAATGATGGTTCAGCAACAGTTCATGCAAATCTGTAGATGTGTGACAGAATAATATTAATAGACTTTGCTGTGGTTTGAACATGGGTGGTGTCTCCCAAAGGTCCATGAGTTACCTTGGTCCCCGAGGTGTGTTACTGGGAAGTGGTAAAGTCTTTTTAGGGATGGGGCCTTGTGGTGTCCTTAGATTACTAGTGGTGTGCCACGCCCCCAAGGATTGTGTGATCCTGGTCTCTTTCTCTGCTTCTTGGCTGATGAGGTGAGCAGTTTGCCCCAACACATATTCCCGCCGTGATGTGCTCCCTTGTCAGAGGCCCAAAGCAGGGGACCACTCAATCATGGACTGGAACCATGAAAGCCATGAGCCAAAATAAAACTTTACTCTTTATAAGTTAGTTGCCTCAGGTATTTTGTTATAGTGATGGAATGCTAACACAAAATTTATGTACAAATACTGAAATACTGCATTATTACCATAACTTAAGGGGAGGAATGGGATAAAATAAAATTTATCTGAAAACGATAAATTCTTCCATTTATTTAACTTCTTAAATTGTTGAAATTTGTGTACTGTGTGGTATATTTCCACACGATGATGCTATTTGGGCTGCTAAATGGAATACTCAGTATTCTTTACTGGGATTAGTCTGAAATTACGCATGTTTTTCTGGGAGTCTCTTTAGGGTAAAATGTGACTGACCCTTATAATCTTCAAAGTCCAGACAAAGCAACAGATGGGATGGAAATCTGTCATTGGCTCTATCGGAGCTGGACACATTGGCAGTGACAGCTGGCCTCTGTCCCCAAGGGGAGAATGAGGGGCACAGAAGCCAAATGAAGATTCACAGGTCGATGGCTGCATGGCCCCACTAAGGAATCCCTTAAGGATCACATGTATTTACATGTGTGTTGGTCTACTCGACCAACATTTTGGAGCATGCCCTCTGTTTTGAACATCGGAACACATAAACCTGCTCTAGTTTTTTGGATGCAGTTGTTTTTAATGACAGGAGGTAGGAGGCATCTAAAGAATGTGTACAAATAGCAAGGAACATAAAGGGCTGTTTTGGAAACCTTAGTGAGAACAAAACCGATCCAACATTGTCTGCCCAAGCCCCTCCAATTCTTACCTTCCCAAAACTCCCCTTCCCCAGCACCATGAGGAAATTGAAGTCCGTGAGCTTCACTCTGTCAAGGTTATTGGAAGGTTGTTTCCTGTCTTCTGAAGGACTAATTACTTTGTTACCAGCAGGGCCAAGTTTGGCTTTCTAAAGAACAAGCACAAACAAGAAAACCCACTGGTCATTTTCCCAAGATGGGTCAGGAAAAGAATCTGAGAGTAAAGGATTCATATGTGGTTGTGCTTACCCAATGGGGAAGGTCTGCAAAATGGCAGACACTTGCCCTTCCCTACTATGAGACAACTCTACACAGGTAAATAAGAGGCAAACCACAGGAATCTGTCAAGGGCAGGTGGATTCAAATTCTAGGAATACAGAATACACTTCTTGGGGGAAAATAATGCTTTGAGACTGTTTAATGCAATAGAGAAAATAAACTGTGTCTGGATGTTTTTTCATTTGTAGGTTTTAAAATTTAAAATAAATCAGCATAAATGAAATTTGTACCCAGGTGAAGAGAAAAGAATGTCCTCAGACAGGATATACTTTAATAGCAAGGTGTAAGGATGACATCACTACTTTCAAATGCACAGTAGGAAGAACAGGTTGTTTTAAAGTCAAGAGTTGAACTCATGAAAAGAAATGGTGATGGGCATGGGAATCTGGCTGTACCTAAAACACACCATGCCCTTCACACCTGAAGAACATCTGGTAAATAATGTTTCAGCTACCAAAAGTAGTTTTATACACTAGAATCATGCCACACGATGGCCTTAGATGGAGCCACATCGTCATGGGGAATCGGAATCAGAGTCCTCCAAGTCAGTAAGGATATATGAGAAGGCACAGCATAAAAGGGAAGGCAAATAAGATCCCATGGGGAAGAATGTCTCAACAGTCATGAAGAAAGCCCTGGGCAAACTGAGAAGGTTGGAGCAGATGCAGAATTCCACCCACTGCCACACTCTGGATTCTGAATGTCTGCCTGCTAATAAGCCAGCTGCAGAACACATTAGGTGCTGACAGGGCCAAGACTGGCTGAACCTTTACAACCACAGCCCTGAGCCTACAGGAGAGGAAGGACTCTTGCTTAGGTTCCACTTTCCATGAGAGAGGCACCCTTCTTCCCATGCAGCAGACCTGAGATGTGTGGCTCTGCAGTCTCAAGCAGCAACCAGACATCACATAAGGTAACACCTTTGTGACTAAATGACTGGGAAGATGGAAAGGAGGTAAGGAAGGCACTCAAGGGGCTTCACTATGGACCAAAGCACTGGTGGGCTGGTTCTTTGCTCTGGGGGAAAATGTATGATTTGCAGGTTTTTCTTTATGAGCACATAAAGCTTCTGAGCAATCATCTATGCTTCCTTTTGAAGCACCAACACCCTTCCTCACTGAATAAGCCACTGTATATTGGGCTTTATTGGAGAGACTTTGCCTTTGCAGAATGAACCCGTTAGCCATCTCAGTTTCAAACCTTAGCAAAATCCTTGACACAGGATATGCACTCAGTGTTTCAGCTGAATGAATAAAGGAATGAAACCTGGATGTGTCTATCAGATGCTGTGCTGTTGGACGACACTTGTTTTTCTCTGACAAAATAACTCAAAAATAACTTTGTGTAGGATCAACTCCCAGAGCTTGAGTAGATGTCCTCATGAGCTGAGCACACCCACCGAAGCAGAAATAGAGAGACAAGAGGGAGAGATGGCTTGGCATTTGTGTTCAGGGCTGCAAATACTGACTACGGCTCTGCTTGTTGGGAAGTTAAACTTTTCATCTGAAGCTTTGGTAACTGAGTGTGCTGTAACACACTGACAACAAATGGGCAGGAGAGCAAGCACAAACATTCACCTAAAGTGCACAAATGTTCAGGAGCTATGCAAAATACAAAATGCAAGGAGGCACAGGTGAGTGAGGCTTAAATACTCCCTTTACAAAGGAGTGGAATGGGCAGGGTAAGGCAATTGTAGAGGAGTAAATGATTTTCAGGGAAGAGAAACAACTTGGAGCACAGACAGTGGCCTGGGACAAAGCCCCTTGAGCTTTGGGTGTGGTGTTTCACTCTCAGTCTTCCCTGTGATGTGAGTTTAATCTTCGCTGGTGAGTGGAATATCAGTGAGAGTTGAATGCAACTGTGTTCTTTGGCAGATCTGGTCTTTAGGCTGCTCCCCAAGTGCTCTCAAGAGGTCCAATGTTTTGGGGTATCATTTTTGAGCCCCTACATGTTCTACCATTATTAGCACTGCATGGAGAGACCCGTGTGAACTTAGGGCTGTTGCAAACACTGATGGTCTATGAAGACAAACATGAATTACAGTGGCACAGGGACTGGTCTCCTCCTTCGGCAGAGGATGGAAGGAAATTTAAGGCAGATTTGTGAGAAGAAGCGAGAGCCAGCCAATTAGGTTCTATTAAGGCCCCTCAATTGTAGGCCCAGCCCGGGAATAATTCCAAGTTAAGAAACTTTCTGGTCTGTGTCTAAATTTAAAGAATCAGGAGGAAGTCTAAGCCTGAAATGAAAATACAAACTATGAAACTCTTTTCTGATTTAGAAAAAAGTTATCATGAAGAGGTACAAAGAGCAATTTTATTTTATTAGGAACTTCACAAGAACATCCCTCCCCACTTCCAAAAAAAAAAAAAAAAAAATCCCAGACACTACTGACTCATGGATCTGAGCGTCATGGCACAGTTGAAAAGCGTTACACCTGGAGAAATTGCCATGCACACTACCTGTGATGAATGCCCAGTCTGCTCTGCAGCATGTGATCTCACCTGTGATGCCTGATCAGTTGGTCTTCTTAAACATCCAAGGTTTTTCCTCCCTTGGCCCTGAACACTGCAGATAGAGAAGGTGGCCTGATGCAGCTGATGGCCCTCTGGACAGACATCGGGGCCTTTTACCCAGGATGTATCTGTTGCACTCATGGGAGGGTTGTAACATTTAATATTTTTTTGTATTATGACCTTAGCCTCGCTATAGGGACAAGATATTGTACACAGTTAGGCTAAAGGGATATGAAGACAAAAATATTTTTTTGCATTCAGTACTTCCAAGCCCAGCTGGAGTCTGGTCTGAAATCAAGCCATGAAATTTAGAGGAACATCAAGGAAGGAGACTGCCACTCCTGGGGGGTTAAGCAGTAGAGAGAGAGGCACTGCTAGGGAAGATTCTACTCTCCTGTCTCTAGCCAGAAGCAGGGTAGGGTTTTCTGTGGCTGGCAGAACAGGCTGATTGGTTGAGCTGGAGAGAGGCCAGTGCATTGAGTCCAGAGCAAGCCAGGCTGGCCACAGCAGCTGCACTCAGTGCCAGAGGGCTGCCTGCTCAGTGACGTGACCCGGAGGGTGAGGATGGGTTTCACCTCTGCCTGCACCAGCCCCAAGTGAGCACAGACAGGCATCTTTGTGCAGCTGTCCCATCCTGAGCAGTATTCCCCATGGTTTCCCTCCTGAACACCCTGAACCATTCCACACTGCCACCTGCAGGCCTTGCTGCTGAAGGACTCAGAGGTGGGCTATCACAAACTCAGTCTGGGTAATGAATAATGGGGTCGGAGAAGATGGCCGCTGGCCATCTGGCTCTGTCACTGGCATGGGAGTAGGCTGGGGACAGCCAGAAAGGACTCCTAGGTGAGTATAGGCCAGGGCTGGGGACCAGAGGCTGTGGACTGTCTTGACTTCCAGGCAACGGGCAGTGTCTCCTTTGGCCAATGACCTCAGCTCTCCTTGGTCCGATATTTCTCCCTATATTCCCTTGGCTGCTTTTCCCCATCCTTCAGAGGCCAGCTCACTGCTACTTAAAGATGGCCCGTCACTTCTCCTCATGGCATCCCAGGCTTTTCCTCAAGAGTATGTGGGAATCAGATTATCTTTACTTATGAGTGTGTTTATTTACTGTCTCTTGCAATCATTACGCTACGTCACGCCTGATCCACCTTCAAACTACATTCACAGTGTCCCTCCTCCCACGGCCCCCACCTCTAATGGCACCACTGCACTGCCTGGCTGGTCCTCCTATGACCACCCTCACCCTGCAGGCTGTCTACTGGCAAGATCCTGCTAAGGCATCAGTGGGAGCCTGGTCCTATCCTGGCTTTACTGGCTTCCTGTTTGACTGAGGAAAAGGCTGTGTCCTTTAAAGGGTGGTGAGGCGGAGACTGCAGCTCCCCACCATCTCCTTGCCTAATTCCTGCCACTCCCTCACCTCAGCCCAGCCACCCCAGCCTCCCTGTACTTCGTCATTCTCTTCCCGCCTTGGACCTTGCCTTTTCTTTTCTGGAATGTTCTTTTATCCCTGCTCAAGACCACCATCCAGAGTGGTCTTCCCATTGGTCCCTTTTCCCCACTCCATCCCTTTCCACCTCCCTCCTGCTATCGTTTTCTTTTCAGTGCTCACCACCTGACTGTGAGTCTGAGAGGGCCGGGGCTGTCTCTCTGTTCTGTTCATCCTCAAAATCCAGCTTTAGGGCTGACCTCAGTCTCCCCAGAATGTCCAACCTAGGCAGACATTGTCTGTGCTCCACTCACACACCCTGAGCTTCCAGCTCTGCACACCTGTAGACACCTGAGTCTGCCTGGGGTTCCACTCTGGCTACTTCAGAGTAAGCCTGAGGGCTCTCAGGTTACTCACCTCACAACTACCCACAGCGCCAACCGTCCACAGCTCAACCACCAGCTCCATGCAGGACTAAGCTCCAGCTGCCTTTAGGAAACACCTGGGTCACATCCTACTCCCCACAGTGTCTCTGAGGAGCCCTTACAAATGACGCTGTTCTCAAATCTCATGCTGAGCAGGCTACTGGGAAACTTAGACAAACACATTCACTTTCTTCCTGTACTTACTGATCTATCTTCCTCACTAGACTGTGCAACCCTTTGAAGTAAGGAGTATGTCTTACTCAGTTTTGTGTCTTTAAACCAAGCACTATGCCAGGCACATCATTCATTCATTCACATATGTGTTCATTAAGTAGCTAGAGCTAGCAGAATCTGCAGAGGCCAATGGATACCCAGCACTATTTGGCCAGATGACCAACTTTAACAAAGAAGAGCAGTTGTCATCAGGTGGTTGTTACAGACTGTCACACCTGGACTCCATACAGGATGCTCATACACAATCTGAACTCTTTTATTCCAGCAATCCC